CCAGAATTGATTACTTCTTGAAAATCAACGAACTCATCCGTCTCACTGTTTGTAGATCTGTTTGGACGATAGATTTTTAATAAATTACAACATAGTTTTATAAAAGTAAATAATATTTTCCTTTTCTTTGTATTATTGAAAATTCCCTGTGTACTTGTTTTTTAAGACGCCATTATTTATACCCTGGAAAATCGTGAAATTAATCCAAAAGTTATTCGCCAAATATTATTCGGTTAACAAATAATTGTTTTTTTTTTGTTTTTTTTTTTTATAGCTGATGTTATCTTTTTTCTCAGATAATTATTTCACTTCTTACTTAGTAGTATTGTTCAACTGCTTTCTAAGGTTGATGGTTAAATATGGATTCGAGCGGGTGGATGACCATGCTATTTTCGAACCTCGTGGACTGGCATTAGAGAAACATAAAGAACGATATTAGATGACAATAACCACTTCAATTCAGTACTTCCAACAGCAGTAACAACTAAAATGGATAGCACACTAAATTGTTTGAGAAAATGATAACATAATGAAGATGTTTATGTGTCATACTACTTCAAACAAAAGGTAAAAAAGGAAACCACGGTTAATAGAGGAAAGAATAATGACACCTACTGGATATGAGAAGCATATGAAATAGTTCAGGAGAAATATATTATGTACTAGCAGCATGGCCCGGCGTTGCCCGGGCTTGATTCAAAAATCGTACGACTCATACAGCAATCGCTATCACTTAACTTAAAATGTTTTTTCTCTTCCTTGCCTTTAAAGGAGTGCCCTTTTCCGTGTTGATGTTGCTACATGCCTTACTTCTTGCCTATCTCACACTGCGAGTTTTTTCTAAGCTCTATACTAAACATTAAATCTGTAACGAAAAAAGAACTAAACAAAATGAACACAAAACGATCAGCTTTAAAAAAGGACTCGTAACTGGAAAAACCGAATGAAAAAAGAATGTTAACAACGAATATTTTTTCACATCCAACCCAGTTCTGCGGAATCAGAATCAACGTTGAGTTTAAGCAAGCGAATAAGCCAAGTGGAGTAAAGTCCCAAGCAGATTTAAATTTTCCCCACTTGTGACGAATGCAGCTATTGATTTTTTTGCATGCTAGCATGCTAGTTAAAATTCGTGTCAATAAGCTGTTGACTCTCACGCTGGCCAATAGAATCTTCCTGCCTATTCGTGGCAGCCAGCTATAGGCTCGCACCCTGACCAGTAGAAAATGGCCGCAAACTACATGAAAACTGCCGTAGAAGCGTGATAAAATCAATTATTTCCACTATTGATGTGAGTTGGGAAATGCAATGTCGGTCCTGGCCTTTCCGCTAACTTGGAGCATGTGCATGTAAATTTTGGTGCAAATCCGTCGAAAATTGCGGCCGTGCATTCGTTACACACACACACACACACACACACACACACACACACACACACACACACACACACACACACATCTTGCCTTTTATAGATAGAGATTTTAACTGACAGTAGCAGTGACTGCTTGATGAATGAATGCCGAGTGAAAGGAAACTACTAATATTTCTTTTCTATTTATGTGCCGTGTCCTTTTAGGACGTAGGCGATCATGGCTCTCCACTTCTCTCTATCCCTTGCAGCTCTCAACATGAGCCTTCCCTTTGCGATCTCCCCCAGACCACGTTCTGTCATCCAATTGATCAAGCCCGATAGGTATGTCATGCGTTGTTTTCGCTTGTCTCTCTTTCCCTCTATTCGACCCGTGGGTATCAGATTCGCCAGACACCCCCCTTCTTCATTATGTGTCCGAGAAACTTCAGCTGCCTCTTCCTGATTTTAAGTATAAGGCTCCTCTTTGGTTGTATCCTCTCTAAGACCACATCGTTGGTCACACGCTAGGTCCATGATGTTCTCAGCATCCTTCTGTAGAACCACATCTCCGTCGCCTCAAGTATTTTCTTCATTATTACCATTATCATTAGCTTATTTCATTATATCTTATTGAATCAAATATTATTTTAATTTCGTATTACAAACCAAAGACGGCAGATCCTCTCTTTCTTTCTATCTCTTTTTTTTATATTTATTTATCACTATTTCTTTCTTTCTTTCTCTCTTCTCTTTTTTGTTTTATCTTCATTACATTTCTTTCTTTCTTTCACTTCCTCTTTCGTTATCGTTTTCTCTTTTTCTTTATCTTTCATATTCTCTCGTGTTTCTCTCACTTTTGCGTTCATTACTTTTTCTCTGTTTTTCTCTTTCTTTCTTTCTAATTCCTCGCTCTCTTTCGTTCGTGTTCCTTTACTCCCTCTTTCTTTCTATCTAGATTGATTTTCTTCCATTCTTTTTTTAAATTTATTTTCTTTTGTTCATTCATTATATCCCTCTGATATTTCCTTTGAATTTTTCCAGAATGTAACAAGTTCATCAATTTATATTACTAGTTAGTTGTCCTAAAATGGGAAACCAAAATTTGAAGGCGTATAGGAATAGCAAAAGATTAAGCCAAAATCTAAGCAAAGTAAGAAGAGAAAGGAAAATTTCATTCGAAACAAAGAACGGTGTTCTGAAATGCAATTTAATATCAATCAATTTATAAATGTTGAAAAATTTCTTCTTTTTTCTGGGAATTTCCTTAAATTCTTTTTTTAAATAAATGTGCAACATCAACATCTTCCTAAAGTTATTATTTTCTGTCCATGTTACATATGCTATCAATGTTAATTGTTGGCGTTTTTGAAAGTTTTCAGATCATAGGGTTTGTGTTATTTGAATAACGTGGTTATTCCGTAGCGTCAGTCTTCGAAAACTGGTGAATTGCACTCATCCTTTAAGTTGGCAGGACTCACTCGCTCGAAGCCCTTTTTTAATCAGTGATCGGATAAAACGTTTGTATGTAGAAGATAGAAATATCTGAATGGTCTGGGCGTCATACACAAAACCAATACAAGAGGCTAGATCTGATGAGTCTATTAAAAAAACATGGCGCAAATTCTTAGGTTAATGTTTTGGATTTCTTACAAATTACGATGATACGATAAAAACAACCCTTAGTGCTTATTCTATATTATATTTTCTTATCTCCTGAACTAAATCCGTTTCAGCCGATCGATACACTCAGGTATTTCAAGTGATTAGTATTTATTAATTGCACATTCTATTTTTTCTCTTTCCTAATACTTTGCTTAGCTTTTGGAAGGTATATTTGGCTATTCCAATGTACCTTCGGATTTCCGTGTCGCACTTTCGCTCCTTTGTTAAAACACTTCCCAGATATTTAGATTGTAGTACTTGTTTGATTTTCGTATCCCCATTTTGTCATTTGCATGTTGAGCTGTTTATTTAGCTAACAATGAATTCTCTCTTATTAGAATTGATGTTTATTCCTTTCTTCTTACTTTCTTTCACTACCTTTTGTAGGAGTTCTTGTATTATTCTTTCTGTGTCTGCTATTAATACTGTGTCATCTGCATATCTTATGTCGTTTAGATTGCGACCGCCGACAATGAAATGAAATGTTACGTAATATAAATTATCCTACATTATCCTATTTATTTCAATAGAAAAGACTCTTAAACTTGATCCGTGAATGAGACAAACAGTGCACTTCAAAGTGACTAAGTAGTGACTTTCAGGAGCAATTGCTAATTTGATTAACACGCTAAATACAGCCCGACGTCCCCTAAATATACAGAATTCACCACAATCAAAAACACAAAAATAAATAAATAAATAAAACAGGAAATCTCGTACAGTTTATTTATTGTTGGAATTTTTGTTACATTTATTTGAAACAAAAGGAAAGGATAGAAATTTAGTAGCATGAAATAGAACAAAACACAAATGTTAAATATAGTGTTCAAACTAAAATGGTATTTTTATATATATATTAATTAATTTTTTAATCATATAGGAAATTAAATATGTCTTTGCTTTTGTGGGGCATCCTATATATATGTTGAAGATAAAAAAAATATATGGAAACGTGTCAGATTTGTACTTTGTCTTTTAAAAGACATTACCCAGGTCAGCCTCTATACAATTCTCCAAAATATCCGATGCTTTATAAGAATCAATACATTCATTCAAAGCAGCCTTTCTGTTTATCCTCCTGAATTAATGCGCACGCGCATTTGCGAAGTGTATTCGTTTCCCGGGTAAATTCGAGATCAGACGAGATGTTGGGAAATTTCAGTCGGATCTGCCGCGCTCTGTTGCCTTTGCACAGGGACAGAAAGATTACGCGCCTCTCCAGCCGTACACAGGAGCACGAGTCTGTGTAAATCCAAATCAAGCGAAACAATTCTTGGATACATTCCAATCAATGTTCCTTCTTCATTTTACAATCGCTCTTTCCTTATACGACCGGTTTCATTTTATAGTTTCGCTTTATTTCTTAGTTTTCTTCTTTCTTTTCTTTTTTCTTTCGTTTTTTTATTTCTCGTTATAACTCTTTTTCAATTCCTCTCTTTTTTTCTCTATCCTTCTTCTATTTTCCTCTCCCTTTCTTTCTTTCTTTTCTTTCTTTCTTCTCTTTCTTTCTTCTCTTTCTCTCGATCTCCCTTCTTTCTCTATTTTGTTCTTTCTTCCTCTTTTTTGTTCGGTCTTTTTTCTCTGTGCTTTCTGTTCCCTTTTCTCTTTCATTTTTCGCTCAATTTCTCTCTTGCTTTCTTTCTTTATTTCTCGCCTATTGGCCATACCAAGTCAGAGCGCAGTTTCCCGTCCTGTCACTGAAGTTAAGCAACGTCGAGCTTAACTATCAGTACCACGATAGCTGACCAATTGTGAATACCAAGTGATGTAAGCCTGTTTTCTTTCGTCTTCTTTTATTTTCCTCTCTTTTTCTTTCTTTCTTTCGCTCTTTTGCTGTCTCTCTTCTCCTTCGCTCTCTCTTATTTCACTATCCATTCTGTTTGCTTCTTTCTTTTTTTCACTATCTCTTTTGCTCTCTTTCGCTGTTTCTTGTTCCCTATTCTTTCTATTTCTTTCTTTCTTTTTTTCTGCTCTTGTTTTATTCATCCCTATACCACCGATTCTCGTCCGACTACCGAAGTTTAGCAACGTCGAGCATGATCAGTACCTCGATGTGTGACCGATTGGGAATACCAAATGCTGTGAGCGTGGATGTGCGGGTGCTGTAATGGATAACGGCTGGCAAAAAACAAAGAGCCGAGTTCCAATTTCTGTTGGTTTCGTTATGTTTGCTTACGCGCAAATATCATCGGGAATGGTATGAATCCATCTCTTCTTTCCCTATATAAGGGTTAAATAATAGGACTTGCATCAGTATAACACTATTATCCCCAAAATGTATTTTTAAAAAATCCGCAAAGTATTTTCTGGCTTTAAATAACTTGCAAATGGTTGATAAGCCGTCAAAAAACAAAACAAAAAATCAATCAATCTTTAAATCTCTTTCGCTTTTATTTCTTTCTTTAAGTTTATCCATATTGATATTCTTTTTTTTAACTCTTTTTAACGTCCATGTTAATTTCTCTAAATTCACCTTGTACCGTCCAAGTTAATATCTGGATTCTCCTTTCAGCGACAATGTTAATCTCTCTGAATTCATCTTTTACCGTCCATGTTAATATCTGGATTCTCCTTTTAACATCCATGTCAATATCTGGATTCTCCTTTTACCGTCCATGTTAATTTCTCTGAATTCAAATTTTACCGTCTAATTTAATAAGCTAATCTCTCTGAATTCACCTTTCACCGTCCATGTTAATATCTGTATTACCTTTTACCGTCCATGTTAATCTCTCTGAATTTACCTTTTACTGTCCATGTTAATATCTGTATTCTCCTTTTACCGTCCATGTTAATCTCTCTGAATTCACCTTTTACCATCTCTGTTAATATCTTGATTTCATTATTATCGTCCATGTTAATCTATCTGAATTCAACTTTTACCGTCCATTCGCCTTTTACCATCCATGTTAATCTCAACTAATTCTCCTCTTCTCGTCCATGGTAATGTCTCTGAATTTTCCTCTTACCGTCCATCTTAATCTCTCTAAATTCTCCACTTAGTATCCATGTTAATCTCTGAATTCTCCTTTTGCCGTCCATGTAATCTCTCTGATTTCTCATTTTTATTTATTGTTATGCTATAATTACTATTTTATTTGTCTAGTTTTTCTTGCTCATTCTGTAAAACCATCGATTTGTATATCCTTTCACCTCAGTGTGAGTACATATTCGTTCATTCATCTTCATTTTTTCCATTCATATATTTCCGCTCTTCAGTCTTTAAGCAAATTGTATTCCTTCCTTTTCATCTTTGATGTTCAAATTTTTGTTACGTCACTCTCTTCTGTTTTCCTATTTGTCCATATTTTCTTTTGCTTTTCCTTCATATATTTCTTATCATTCCCTTTTAGATCACTTTAAATTTATTATTTTCATATATGCCATATCAGTCGCCAATTCATTCGTCGTCATTTGACGTTTGTTTTTTCATCTTTCTTTTATTAAATTAATCGCTGTCGCTATTGATTCATTTTCCCTCCATATGCTAACATTTACTTTCATTAATTCGTTCAGTTTTCATTTCTATTCCGACGTCAGTTTTAGGATTATTTAAAGTGACTTATTAATTCTTCATTCGTTCGTTAAATTTATCATATTGGACTTCATTTCATATTAATATATTTTATTTACACTACCGTTCAACAAGCCCCAAAAGCCACTCAAGATAGATCGGTACTGTGTGGTATTGTATGGGCATAAGAAAAAGCGAGAAGATGACCGCAGATTATATCTGGTGCAATGAGTCAGACAAATATTTGTAAACGAGAAACTCCGGAATTATTCAACTTTCTGCTTTCTTGAGATGGAGATAAAAATATTCGTTTCCGAGCAGTATAGGAAATTGTAAATGGACTTTTTATACTGCTGATGGAAGTATTGTTGACCATGTTTGCAGCAGTCTCTGAATATGGAATCCAGTGAAGTCCGTAATCTTTTCAATATCAGAGGTCGGCAGTAAAGATTCAGAGAAAGTAGCGGTTGTTAAGTAATTCTTTAAGTCTTTGATATCAAGTTGGCAGTGCAGACAATTTGGGAGAAAAAAATGGCTGCCTTTATACACGTCGCATTGAATACTTTGAGCTTTCTGATTGGTTAACCCTTCTCTTGGTGGACTATAAAATGAGTCAGCTCATTTTGACTGGCTCACTAATAAACATATATCCAAAAAACTGCAACAAGTATTACTGAAATGAATCTGGACGCATACAACTTTTGTGCGAACACATGTAAATGTTGCTAGTGAACGTTTAGCCATATTAATGATGACTCATGTTGAGCATTCTAAAAAAGAATATTTTTTAGCAAGCAGTTCAAAGAAGCGACTAAAGATATAGATGATAATGTGAGAAATTACTAGGCAAGCATAAAACGAACTTATATAAATGTGGGCAGAATGCAAACTTCATGGATCAAAGATTAAAATCTGCGTCTGATAATCGTATTACTGTAGTGGGAGGTAATCCAGCAGATTCTTACAGAGTTTGTGGAAATGAGAAAAAAAAAGGTAGGCTAGGATTTCACAAGATCCTGGCCAAGAAATCCATTGCCAAAATTGAAAAATGCCCTGAGAGGACAAATAATTGCTGACCTCTCTGACATTAAGGTACATTACTAAAAGGTATTCCAGAATCGACTTCTTGAGTTTCTTTCCAGCAATAACACCACTGTCGTCGCACAAACTGCAATGCTTCACATGTGGTGACAGCAGCGAATAATGACCATGTAAGCAAACTTTCACATCGCATTTCCTGGAAAGAAATTATCTCACCTCGTGTTTCCTTCCTGTCGGTGAACTATTTGTTTTAATCTATTCTTAATTTTCTTTTTCTCTTTCATACAATTCTGGCACAGATCTCAGTGCTTATTCATTACGTCATTTTCTCTGCATTCCAACTTTTATATTCACTTGAAAACGTTTCGATTGTCATTCATTATCTCTTTTATCCTCCATCATTTTTTCGGTCTCTTATTCTTCATGCTTCATCGCTTTCCCTATTTCCTTTTATTTCTGGGCTTACGGCCACCTCGCGTTGAAACAACCGTACGATCATCGGAGCTAGTCGAGCCTGATCTAAACTTCGATGGATGACCGCTGGAGAATAACCAGGTGATGTAACCGTGAATGGGCAGGTGGCGCAGTTGATAACGGCTCTGAATTGTTGATAGGAGAGACGCTTGCTATTTTCGCGTTGGATTTGTTATATTCACTTATATGCAAAGTAAAATCATTTAACCTCTCAGCGATGGGTTAATTCGTAAGTCTTTTATCAGTAAATCATTATTCTTAAAAGAATTTCTTTAAATCTAAAATGATTTGCTGACTTCAAATAACCTGCAAAGGGTTGCTAAGCCGTAAAAAATCATTTTTTTTCGCTTCTTCACTAATTTTATCCCTTCTTTCCTCCTTTCATATTTTCATTCTTTATTTTTCTTCACTTGAAAACCATATCTTTCATACTTTTTTATGATTCCTTGCGAATCCCCGTCGCCACTTTTGTCATGTTGGACGGGTTCCCTTGTTCCTTTTCTATGGCAAGCGAAAGCTATTTATCATTTCCAAAAAGGTTCGTTATATTCGAGATTTCGTAGCTGCCGGCAGTAGTAGTAACGCATTCTAATATCCGCACTAGTAATACTTGTTCAAGTAGTAATTGTCAAATAGTATAAAGATCAGAAGAGAATCGTAATCCGTATAGTAGTACAGTAGAGAGAGTGAACGTATAGCAATAGTGGATAGACAAGAAGAGTGGACAGTAACCGTATGGTCTTAATGCTACTTTCTATTTATACGCTTCCTTTATGATCACGTGATCTACTTAATAATGGAATCGGCCGTGTTGCATAATGGCGATCTAGTTTTAAACCACAAGGTCGGCAACGACACATTTTTTGACAAAACTTTTGTTTTTTAAACGTCCTTTAATTTTCTAATTACTATCCGGCTTTTTATGTTTGTCAATATATTTTTCTTTCGTATCAGAAATTGCATTTACCTTTATTTTCACGTGTTTTTTAATACTCTTTTATGTCCATCCCTAGTGATCGATCCAAAACAAATAGTAAATATAGATTTATAATTGGTCGAATCTTTTTTCATACTTTAACTCAAAAATATATTCATTAGATATTTATTTAATCATCTTTTAGTGGTATTTTATTATGATGATAAGCTTCCGTTTTTATGCTATTATCTCAACCTATTTTTCACATTTTTCTCTGATAGTATTCGGCCGGTCATGACTACAGTATTCCATTTTGGTTGCAGAGGCACCACATGTCCTGCAGGCATAGCTGCAAGAATGCATAGCAGAATGCATTCTTTTTCAGGCTAGTTATGACTTCCGTTTTTCTTCTATTTTACTGATTGAAAACTCAAAGCAAGAGATGAGACACCAGAGAGCCCTGCTATTTAAACCCTAGCTGATGTCGACAGAATTAATAAAATGATTATATATATATATATATATATATATATATATATATATATATATATATATATATATATATATATATATATATATATATGTATATATCTGAGTAATCTGCAAATTCTACAAGTATATACATATATATGAGAATAAGGCAAATAGAGAATATTTATTAGCGGATGCGTTTTGTCCTTTGATGGAATTTGTGAAGGAAAACGTAAAGGTTTTTTTTTTTTAAATTTGCAACAAATATCCATAAACAGAAGTAAAAATGTCGTTAGTTTCTCCGGATTTTCTCATTTAATAACGTTTGTAAATAAACTTCAAACTAACTGCGAGGCAAGGTAGGTAAATAATGTAGGATGCTAAGGTGATGTAATTTAATGTCTAATAAAGGAAAGTGTGTATTGTTGATATTGTTGTTGAATTTTGAATATATATATATATATATATATATATATATATATATATATATATATATATATATATATAGTGTATATATATATAATATAAATTAATTGATTTAAAATATGTTTTTCCCGCTACACAGTTCTAACCATGTTTCAAAAATGGAAGCTAAAAGCCACTTTTGAAAACATGGTTACAACTGTGTAGCGGAAAAAAACATATTTTATATCAAATAATTTATAATAT